CCTGTCATCAACCTTTTTAACAATACAGCATGGTATTTTTCATTGTCATGTGGAATATCTTCGCTGATTGCTGGTATCGGTTGGAAATGGAAAATGAGAGAAATAAACTGTGACACCTCAACGATGGTATTTAAAAACGACAATAGTGAAGACCAGAATCAAATTCGAGATATTTTAAAAGTATTCAAATATATCTGGAATGCTCTTCAACCTTTATTTTTTGGGTTTATTGGCACAGGATTCCAAATCCAATATGTTGATGTCAACATGTTACTCATTATAATACCAGTTATACTCGTATTTGTAAGTGTAATTTTTTATTAACAAGTGAAGCAAAATACTACATTCACGATTAATTATGTAGCTAATTTCTAGATAAGTAGATATTAATTGTTTTATTCGTATCAATATATGTGTCTTAGATTCGAATACTAATCACAACATGCTCAGTTTGGAGATCTGGATTCAACGTTAATGAAGTTATATTTATTGTTTTCTCGTTGCTTCCAAACTCTTCGTTAATGGTAATTGTTAAATGTCAATATTGATAAGCTCTAAACATTAATATATCTTCAACAAATGTTTCGTTTTACTGGCCGAATCGTTACACCTTAAATTTTATTTCATGCGTTGGCTGGTTGCAGTAACGTAATTTTGGTAAATTTTGGGAAGGATTGTGAATGTTGTGATTAAATGTTTTTACATGAATAATACTTGCTCAAAATCTAAAAAGATCATCAGGATCTATTTCCCGTATACCCCGTTAGTAGGCCCCTTAGAGGGACTAATTTTTTTATATTTGGGTGCAAAATGTCTAAATGTGGCACTGGTTGGCTCTATTTTTGTACTGAAAATAGCATATATTATGAAATATATTCAAATATAACTTAAAAATAGCTAAAATAACCGCCACTCCACTAACAAATGGTAGTAACGCCACTCACTGGTCACTAATATTATACAATTTAATAATATTATAGGACTGTGATTCTATATTCCTATATTATTATACATAATACTGATTTTTTTCTTTGTAGGGAGTTTTAGCACCTTTATATTTRAGAATTGTTGAATTAAGTGGAGAAGAAAAAGAGACAACATTTGACAGTCAACTGTTAAACATCACCATAATCTGCTATCTGATGACTGCTATTCTAGGGGCATTTTTCGTTCACCGTTATGGTCCTAAATTATTGTCTGATAACATAAATGATCATATTGATGTATGATGATACAATATAAATAATTTGATACTTCGAGTAATATTCCTAATTAGAAATTAATTGTTGTAATTCAAAATATATAGATTTAATTTTTAACATAGAGTTTAAGTACATTATTATTTATTATGTGTTGATAATCCAAACTTCATTATATTAATTTTTTTTTTCTTGTTATCGACGACGCTGCCGGAACTGCTTGCGCATTACGTCGACAGTGCCGCTTCTTATATTAATAATTAATTAAGCCTTATAAACTACATAAGCACATTTTTAAGTGTATCGCTTTAGTGAAATTGGA